AGTCCTGTAGTCCTGTAATTTTGGATTTCTTTGGGATGGGGATGATGGTGGAGCGTTTGAAACATGAAGGGACTTCGCAGTGATTTGTTTCTGCTTCCGGAAGACCTGGCGCACCTCGTCTTCACTGATCTGAATTGCAGGTGTGGGGGAGAGGGGGGTTGCTGGAGGTGTGAATGGTTGTGTGGAGAGGTGTTCAGGGCGGGTGTGGGGTGTTTTTTCAAACCTGCAGTAGAACTCATTCAGATCGTCTGCCAGTTGTTGATTCTTCACAGTGCTCTGGGGGATGGTGTCTTGTAATTGGTGATCTCTTTCAGACTTTTCCACACTGATGCTGAGTCACTGGAAGAGAATTGAATCCTTATTTTTTCAGAATAATTCCTCTTTGCCACTCTGATCTCCTTTTCCAGTGTGTATTTAGCCTGTTTATACAAGACATTGTCCCCCTTCCTATAAGCATCTTCTTTGGCCTGACGGAGCTGTCTGAGTTTTGCAGTGAACCATGGTTTGTCGTTGTTGTAGGTTGAATGAGTCCTGGTAGGAATGCACATATCTTCACAGAAACTGATGTAAGATGTTACAGTCTCTGTGAGCTCGTCCAGATCGGTGGCAATGTCATGTGATCAATGTCATGTGACCATTAATCAATGTCAGAGAACTGTGAACATGCAAATGTGATAATTATCAAAATATTTATTTTAAAATCTCAGGGGTACAAGTAAATATATTAGGTAAAAGATTTTCAGATGACAAAAAAGTTTGGGAATACCTGCATTACATGTAAATAAGAAATAAAATGAATATGTGCATTTTATGTGTTTGAAAGACAAAAGCCTTCCAAACACATAGTAATACATGGTTAAATAATCTAATTAAAAAAACTACTGAGTGATAATTCAAATAAAAATGAATGTGTTCATCAGTAGCTGATGCAATGTTGAAATGATCTGAAATGATTTGTTGTAAATCCAGTGGTCAAATGCTGTGTAGCCACCTGACTAGTGACTGGTCTTTGTGTGAATGTACACAAAACTGGAAGACATTCTGAATGTATATTCAGAATGGCAGGCTATTTTTAGAAAGGAACATTTAAATGATGAAAAAGAGGAATTAGGGAGAATCAATAAATTATGAATAATTTATTGCTATTGCGTGAATATGTAATCAATAAAAAAGTAACTGTATTATGATTGAGTATTTTAGACACATTAATCAAAAGTGACAGTAGAGATATTTATAATGTTACGAAAGATTTATAATACAAATAAATGTTCTTTGTTCTTTTGATCTTTTTTTTAATCAAAGATGAATAGAATACAAATTTCTTATTGTCACAGTTAATATTGTATTTCAGTTAATACAATTTTAACTGTGACAATAAGAAATATTTCTTGAGCAGCAAATGAGCATATTAGAATGATTTCTGAAGGAACATATGATTCCCAAAGAGGCACAAAATCACTCTCACTGACCTTTTCCTGGACTGTTCCCAGCTGGTGGAATGACCTGCCTATCTCAATTCGAGCAGCTGAGTCTTTAGCCATTTTCAAAAAACGTCTAAAGACATATCTTTTTGGTCAGCACCTGACCAAATAATACTAGCACTTACCTATTCTATTCTATTCATTTTTTCTCATTTATTTAATTGAAAAAAACCCACCTTGCTATGTGTATTGTGCAAGACTAACTGAGACTTGCCCTCTTGTTGGTCTGATTGCTTCTCTTCTCAATTGTAAGTCGCTTTGGATAAAAGCATCTGCTAAATAATTAAATGTAAATGTGTTTCAGTGATCTTGTGAAACTGAAGACTGGAGTAATAAGATATATTAAAATAGAAAACATAAATTTTTTATTGATATTATATATCACTTTATTACTTGTGTCTAACCCCTGCACCAGACCATTAAGATAAAAATAATCAATGCAAACAGTCACTGTTTAAAATTCTGTTTGTGTAGTGACGTTGCTTTCAGAAGTGGGCCGTCATCAATGCTTGAGCTTCAGCGACATGATGAAGAGGATGATGATATTGGTAAGTAGTCATGTGCAAAATATTGTAAAACTGCAGTCTGTCATTTGTGTCATCAGGTGGAAATTGCCACAGAACCATGTGTCTATCAAGAAAATCAATCTATAAATTGCAGCTTTAACAGCATGTTTGTAACTGTAACTGCTTTTTTTTCTTTTCAGATTTGCCATCGTCTAGAGTGATGCTGTCGCCGAGAGTGACACCGCATGAGCCACTGGCTCCACGGGTGTTGGCGCAGTGTGATCTCTGTGGGCCTCCACTGCAGCCTATTGTCCTGGAGGAAGAGGATTGGAACAACCTGCACAAGTGGTTCTCTCACCTGTGGCCCCCAGCCTCTAAAGGTATGACATTACAGTCACAATTGCATTAAATCAACAAGAAAGTCTTTTACATATCAGGTGTAGCCATGTTACGAGACATTCTGCCTGAACAGGCACAATAGTGACAAGAAAGGAGATCCCCCTACTTGGGCCTGAACCTGTAAAATCCGTCACTCACCAAATTGACAACAAAGTGCTAGTGTTGTCGAAGTCTGACTGTGTTGTCACCTCGTGTTGCATGAGTCTGAACTAAAAAGTTGTGCTTAAACACACCGTAAAGACTAAAGCCAGTGACCAACTAACACATACGTTTTGCCCCTGCTAGGAAATAACTGTCAGTATTAGCAGGAGGCGATAGTCTATATTCGGTATTCAAATAGAGAAACAGAAACAAGTACTGCAGATATATAAACTCTGTAAATAAAGCAGCCGTTGATTACTATTTTGAATATGGATCATGTTGATCACTTTCTTCATTTCAGACGGTTATGTTGTTATGAAAATGAAAATTAGAAGAGCCTTCTCTATGAGTCCTCTTAACTTTGTCATTTGCTTACTTTCACTTTTCCTTTTTGTGCACTGGTTCACTAAGTTGAACTATCAATCAGAGTGATCTCTCACCGACCACCTAATCCCGATTCAACATGCACAATCAGCCAAAAAGCTGCTGATGGGGTCCGACTAGTGCCAACGGCATGGAATACACTGCAAAAACTGAGCTAACAGACGCTCGGTGGCCCATCGTTCACCAATTGTTGGTTTGGTGTGTCATGGCCTTAACTTCACTTCACTGAGTTATGAATGTGCTTCCAATGAAAATATTTATTTTCTACCACTTAACATTGTTTTCCTTTTAACATGTTTATTAATGATATTAATTATTTAAATAACCTCTTAGAATATCTAAAGGTCAACAGGGTTTTTTTTTTTATACTGGAAGCATTAAAACAGAACAAATGAGGAAAACTGATAGCTTGGTCCATAATTCATGGGACTCCAGACTTTAAAGCCCCTAATAGAGCGCTGTAGTGATGACATATTTTTGTAGGACAACCTGGAGATAGCATTGCCCTGGTTCCCTCGACAAAAACCCATTAGGCTTTTAGATTATTGCAGAAAATATTTAAGATTCTTGTGCACATTTTGTTCATTTTGAGGCCTAGTCCACATGTATAAGGGTATTTTTATAAACAGAGTTTTTCCAGAGCATGCCAAACACACAGGTAGCGATACAACCCTAACCGTAAAGCCATGTTGGCCAATTACAGACTTGCCTCATGTAAACAAAGGAGATAGCGGCGCACAATCTGACGTCAAACAAAGGAGATAACAGCGCACACTCCGACGTCACAAACCACAATCTACAGTTTCACCGTCTACACAACACTGCAACCGGAGTTTCTGAAAATCTTCACCCTGGCGGGAGTTTTCAAGAAGTTTCGATTACAGTGACCTGATACTGCGTTTGCATGTGGATGAACGCCAAACCGCATAGAAAAGACTGTGGCTTTGAAAATAACCATGTTCGTGTGGACAGAGCCAGAGTTAGAATGTAGCATAATTATAAACACAACAAGGCTGTGAAAGTTGACTACTGATTGTGTTAACCATATACCTTATTTCAGCCATTTAACTGTTGGTGTTATCAAAAAACCATGATAAATTCTCCTAAAGGTGATGTATAGTTTGGAAAAAAAAAGAATTTGTGTTTATGACTATTTTTTCCCGTTCTCTTTTCCTTGTTGCTGTTTATAATGCTGTGGCTTTCCAGCCGTTTGAAATGTTTGACTTCCACAGTGCTTTGAAGTAGAAAATTCTCAGTAGGATTCGAATGCGTCTCAGTGCACCACACAGATAATTGGTTCTCACTGTGAGGTTCGGTTGCGAAGCATTTAACGCTTGTCACATAAAAGCCTAGAACGTGAGATGAAGACACAATCATGTGTCTTCAGCAGCCGAAAATGTTGCTTATTTTCAGTGCTGGAAAAAAGGTAATTTGCCTTCTTGTGACATGTTTCATATAGCTTATTCATGAGCAGTGTTTTTGTTCTCCTTTCTAGATGGGAGAGTTATTAGTCCTGATGACTTCCACTGGCACTCCCATGGAGGCCGAGCAATGGGCCACGTGGTTGACCTCCAGAGCCACTCTTTCTCACATGGAAAGATTCTGCTGGGGTCGTTCATGAAGAAACCCTCACAGGTGGACCTTGATACGGTTTCTGTGAGTAAAAAAATTCTTTTTATCTCTGTTAATTGCATAACCACAATAGTGACCTGAGTTTTGTCTGTTTTGAGCATAGACTGTATAAAAACATGGACGTAGTGTCCGTGACGTCACCCGTAGTTTTCCGAAGAGCGTTTTTGAAGCCTAAAGTAGGCGGAGCCGGCCGTCGCCATCTTGGCAGCGCGTCACCACGCGTCACTCCCGGATAATCGAAAATGGGCAAAGAGGCGGGGGCTGGGTGCTGAAACCACGCCCACCTAGCTCGACAGTGGTGACAGCAGCGGCAATCTGCCTGTCACTCAAGTGCTGCACCCTTAATTATGCAGAACTTTAAGGCTTTAAAAAAATTCACCCCCCTCACAGTTGTCATGAAGGGCAAAATTTGTTATATAGACCAAAATAATTTTTTGAACCAGGCTGTAAACATGTTTTTTTCTGCTGTAAAGTTGGGCAATTTAACATGAGGAGTCTATGGGATTGACTCCCTTTTGCAGCCAGCCTCTAGCGGCCAGTCGATGAATTACTGTTTAAGTCACTTCCGTGTTGGCTTCGCGAGAGAGAGCGGGAGGTTGTTGCTTGGTTTTGTGATATAATTGTAAAAACTAGTTCATGAGAAGGTTACATGACCGTTATTTGTTTTGTTGTGCCTTTTTGCCTATATGATGTTTTCATCATCCCAGGCTGGCATGTTTGATAAATAATAATGGACTACACGCTACACTCTGCTGCATTTATTTAGATTATATGTAAACTTTACTGTGTTTCTCTTTATTAAGGTATTCAGCATTATCTCAAGTTGTGTGCGTGTTGATATTGATGGTGTAAGGTCAGTCTACAATTCTGGACAAGTGTTTATGATACCCTCTGGTGAGTGAGAACTTAGATCAGATTTAATGACATTTGGTTTTACGTATTACTAAATACTAATAAAAAATTTTTTGTTACAGGACATATGTATAGCATCCAAAACCTCTGTCAGGAGCCTGCAGTGCTGATTTACCACAGTCAAATGACACAGAGCTGATTGACATTGTGAGTTCCATCAATTTCTTTGAAATATTCAGCTATATATATATATATATATATATATATATATATATATTCTTTTTTTAAGAAAAAATTGTAGATTGTTTCAAAAAGTCATACAAGTATAGTTGTCTAGCAAAGCTCATAAATGTTAGTTGTTTTGTGTAAATAGCTTTATGACGTTATGTGAAATGTTTTTCAAAACCGTGGTGTTATTATTATACATGTGCATTTTTGTCTTAGATTTTTTTTCCCCCCTCAGAATGCAGTTTAACTGTATTCAGAACAACTTTGTTGGGTTGTCAGCAGGGGTCAGCAGATCCTCATCTATATTACATTGCTGTGCATGTCCAACTTTGCCTCTTCTTTATGCTCAAATGTAGTGCTGTTTATTTGAGGTGCGTGTGAAAACGTAAAATCTCCATTTTATTAGTAACCACTTCATTTACAGTTTTGATCAATGTATTCTCATGTAAGTGATTTTACAGCATTTGTGTTTGTAATATTGATTCTACTTCTACTGCCCTGTTTGGAAATGAATTTATGTATAGACTTGTAAAAAACATTTTGCTTGAATTTTGTGTTTTACATTCCATCAGTTCTGAAAGCGCAAAGAGGTACAGAAGCCACTGTGCATTTGCCTTTTTTTATAAAGTAAAAATGTATTTGTGAAAGAAGCAAAATAGATACCAGTACACATCAGACAATTCCATTTTTATAAAATTTATAGATAGATGCTTAAGACTTTAATCCATTATTGTCTCTAACATTTAAAAATAAGTGTGACATGCACACCATTTTTCCCTGGTCACTTACAAATCCTTTTTGCAAAGACCAGGGGATGCTCTATTAATTATACAACATGCTTTTAACATCATACTGTGGAAACGCAACATGAAATATATGAGACGAAATACCTTTTCATAGCAAATCATGATACTTTAAACAAGTTTATCCCTTGTCCGACACCACTAGGAATGTTTTACGCAAGTGTGATAGTGATAACAGAGTTTTTGTTTATAAAGATAATATATTCTTGCTTTAACCAGCGTATGGTTTTAGTTAGGATACCCCCATCCTTCTCCTGAGGTTTTCAAACCAATCCACTCCAAAGTCTCTTACATTGTGTGCCTAAAAAGAGAAATGGTTTGTTTACCACAAATCACAGTAAATTCGGGATTACTTTTTCCAATCAAATCTTTACCAAAGGTTGGAAATGTTTCAATTAATCAGCCTGTCACTTTAATCACAGTAAATCCCCCATCAGCAGAAATGGGAAAAAGTTGACAATATACCTTCTCTAACTTGTTATCGTGCTGAAATAGCAGTAGCTACGGGCATCAATAATTCATTCTCTTTATCATGCAGACCCACCTGTGGATCCAGTCATTCTGTTTTTTTTAGGACAATTCGTTGAGAAAAATGAGCAGATCCCTGAAAAAAACCCATCAGAGCTGACTGATGTTGACTAGAGACCAAAGATATGTCAAACCAAGCGATTAGCCGTGTTTAATGGAACGACTTTCCACATTTCCCACTGAATGTTGTGGAAAATGTCAACATATTTAATGTATTTGTTTTATCTTGCTATTGACGCATGCATCCATACATCGTTGTAAAGGTTAAACGTAGAGACCCACAAGGGTAGCTGAATAATGTATTAGTAAAAAAAAAAAGGTCAGATGCAGTACTTGCCCAAAATAATGATTAAAAATATCATTTGGACTGAGGGTTTTCCTGAAAAGCCTCTTGGGTTGGTCTTTTCTCCACATACTCACAAATGTGATTATGGTCCTAAGGAACTCAAATCAGATTCAATCAAAAGCAACTAGCATTGAGTTAAAAGGCGAAATAACTAAAAAACTGGTGAGTTTTCAGTAGCTTCATAAGCTCGTGGAGGCACTCCGAGCTTAATGCATTAAAACACTGCAACCATTTTCCTCGCATGATAACATTTATTACTGTGCTCACATTTGTAGTGCTAAGTGCATCTGAGTGCAGATGGATGAAGGACATGGTTCAGAGTTGAGAGAAGCTCCAAAAGGGTAGCAGACGCAGGGCAACCGAGAGTAGTAAACACTCGGGGTGAATTATAAATGTGGAGGAAGACAAATCACAGCTCCCCAAAGAACATTTCCAAAAGAGCAGAGCTTCGACAGGTTAAAATCCTGACAAATATGTAGAAAGGGATCATTAGATGAGAGCTTTGCATTGCCTTGTTGTGTATGCTATGCCATGCCATGCCACATTCTGTGTTACTATGTCACTAGCAAGTAACTTTGTTAACATTTACACTCTTAAAAATAAAAGTATCTGGTAGGTATGTTCCATGAAGAAAGCTTAACATCAGTGGAACAATTCCATTGCTCAAAAGGTTCTTTATTGTGGAAAAATGTTCTTCACACTAAGAAAAAAAAAGGATCTTTTAAGAATGGTTCACTAAATAGTTCTTTGGGGAACCAAAAATGGTTCTTCTATGGCTTTTCTGCAAACCCCCCCCCCCCTTGTTTAAACGTCCATTTGTAAGAGTGTACTTTGACAAGTTAATATACATTCCTTTTCTGTATGTCAATGTGAGCACAATTCATATCAGAACTGAATCTACGAAGGCGCTAATCGCAGTGTAGGATTTATGAACAGTCGCATTCTGGCAGAAAACATCATCAAAGGATATCCAGAGTATAACGTCACTTCCTTCCATTGTTGAAAATTTTCTCTAAACCCATTCGCTTGGTGCTGTGCACATTTGTTAGTTTCAGCTCAGCCCATTAAAATCAAATCAGCTAAACAATGCATCTCTTTTACTAAAGTGGTCGCTTAGAACTTGATGGCAGACTTGGCAGCATTGAACAAATCAAGGAAATTCCCAATGTCAGACACTTAACAAGACTAATCTGTTACACAGATAAACGCTGATCCCTTTTATCCTCTCTGCCTTAGTGCTGCAGCTGATTTTTTTAGGGGGGAAAAAGTCAAGTTTGTACCAAATATGTAATTTTGCTGGTTTGAATGTTCTTTTTTGGATGTAGATCTTTTTATAATTGTGTGTAATGGCATTATCTAACCGGCTGAGCAAAGCATCAAAATCAGTGAATATGACGTTCAAGAGGAAGTGTGGTGTTAGACAGTTTGTACTTATGTGTTTGTGTTTATATACTATATGTAGGGCCATGTCAAGATCAGCTTTCCGCTTTGTTGTTCCAGGAAGCTTAGGCCGAAGAAAAGCACAGATACATTTTGATCTGATTAAACCAGACTGAGACACTTCTTGTGTGACTAGTTCATTTTTTAACATGGTCAGCACACAGGTATCACTTTTTCAGAAAATGACCTTGTGGTCTGCTTGTGACATTCTTTCACATCCAAATCATCAATTCACAAAGGCTTGCCACTGATAAAAAAGTGTCATACTGAGAAATAACAGGAAATTAAGGCTTAGGCTAAATTGCCAGGGTTGCATTTTTACTGTTATTTTTACTGTAGAACCATTTTTTCCCTAATATTTGATAGGGCTATTACGATTTTATTCTGGAGGATGATAAAATGGTTGAAAAATCCAGTACAGCAAATCATGGAGAACTGGTCAAGTAAGCAACCACCAGAACACCATAACTGCCTAGCAATGTATTAGCAAACACACCAAAACAACACACATAAATGTGCTTTAGGGATTTTTTAATGGAATATTATGCAGAAATGATCCTACTCCCTAAAAGAACCCATTGAAATACCTTTACTGAGATATCATACTTATCCCTGTGACAGTCTCTGTATTCTCTTCTAGTCTCTGTAAACTAAAAAGAAATGTCAGAATTTTTTTAACACATGTTTTTACCTCCTCCTCAAACACTGTAAAAAGTAAAAATTAGTATTTGTCAATTTGAAATTTACATTAAACTGAAATGTAGAATAAAACCATCATCTTTAAGGCTAAGACCTTTTGTTTAGTCAATCAGAATGCTTTTGACGCGCTTTCTGCCTGTCAGTCAATTTTGACGTTCACAACGTGCCATCCATATATGGGAAGCTGGAAGCTGGGACTGGAACTTGGAGCAGAGTTTGTGTTCATGTGTAGCTCTCTCATCTTTGCAACATCTTTTCTCCAAATTGTGATATAATCTGCCATTAGTCCCTTCATATTTACGACATACTTTCATATGTATCTGTATCTTAGAATCAGTGGCAGTTCAGGCCTTCAGTATGAAAGTCTTGCTGTCACAGACATACTGAAACTGCCTGCTTCTCATTTATTCTCATGAACTCCAAGAGACTAATTTTGCATTGTTAACAATGTGGATAATTTAGTGGCTCATATACAGTATCTAAAAGTAAACTTCCATTATGCAAATTGTTTCTGGTTTATTTGATATTTGAAGGCCATTTGAGTTTTCAATCTTTAGGCAGTGGTATATGCTGAACTTTGTATTGTAGAGTGACAATCGATCTCCTATAGCTGTTAGTTGAAATTGGACCAAAGTGGACATGAGGCTTGTCCTTGTCGATTGTTGCACCCTGTGGTGGTGCACAAACTACACCACCCCTTAATTTCAGCCTAGAGCTGAAGGAGACTCCAAGGTTGTATGCAAAATGTTTTATTCTGTAGACAAGACAAAAATATTTCAATTCATTTAATAACTTGTCTGTTCCAGCCGACAAGATACAGCCTACCCTCCTTATCGGAAACAGGAGTCAATTACTGAGCTACATGCACACATGTAATTCACTGCATATCATTGAGCACAGCAACATTAAATCCCTTAGACACCCAGTGAATGAGAGATTGTCACACGTGTTCACAGTCAATGATACAGACATCAAACTGCAGAGCACAGAAGCTCCAGTAATGCCCCTCTCTTCAAGAAACATTGATTATCTAAATTGCCTGGGCTGTAGCCGAGCATTGCCTTAAAAAACAACAAAAAACACTAACCTGCTAGGGTCTATTCCTAAATCAATTAATTGATGTCGGCATGAAACCATTCATGAAAATTGAGTCTATTTAAAGT